GGGGTGCCTGGGTGGCTCAGTCAGTGAAGCGGCCGACTCTTGATTTCCGCTCAGGTCATGATCTCAGCGTTCTGGGATCGAGCCCCATCTTGGGTTCCATGCTCAGTGGGGAGTCTGCTTGAGATTCCCTCTCCCCCTGGCCCTCCTACTGCTCACGTGCATGCCCCCTCTCAAATAAATTTAAAAAAAAGAGAGAGAGAGCTTCTAGGTTCAGAGATCCCAGAGACCCCATGGCTAAAGAGCTGGCAAAGACCCCGGCCCCAGCTTTTCAGAGCAACTGGAAGACGCCCCAGCTTCCACCCCAGCTTCCTCCCCAGCTCTGTCGCGCAGAAGTTAATTACTTGTTGCTTCAGTGCTGTCAGAATCATCCTAGGGAAAGAAAAAAAAGACAAAAGCACCTGTAGAATCTGCAAAGCGTGGACATTTGTGTTCACAAATTCTTCTCACTCCTTCCTGCTCTCCAAGTTTTCTTTTGTGATTTTCTAAGTCACACAACTTCCCGGCAGGCTAACACGGAAGGATTAATACTTTGGGAAATAAAATCAACCCCTGGTGCTCAATAAACAACACTGTGTCAAGCATCATTTGGTTTCAGAATTTCAATTCATGCCACTGCTCCTGACAGCTGTAAAGACAGTCAAGGGGGCCAGGTCAGCTCTAGGATAGAGGAGTAAAGGGGAGATGGGAGGGAGGAGGGTCTTGCTGGAGTTTTCTACAGCCTGGAGAAGAACATTCGACCTCCTGTGTCAAATTCAAATTTGGCTGACAGGCACTGAGAACTACTGCGTGCTAGGGACCATGAGAAGAGCTTTCTAGTATCTTATATTTTAGGGCTAAAAGGAAACTGAAGGGTTGAAGGGTAGGCTTTACTTACATCCAGGTCATCCATGCCAGGAGGAGGTCTCTTGCTGCTGACCTTCTTCAAAAGCTAGTGGAAAGAGGAAAGTAATTACAAGAGAAAAGAAGGGCAAGGGGAGAGCAACCTGTATATTGATGGGCCATAGGATGATGGTCCCAGCCAGACAATTGCCCCATCTTTACAGCCCCTAACACATCACTGGAATGAATTGGAGAAAAGTAAATCGATCCCCTTTTCATTTATTTTTATTTTTATTTCTTTTAAGATTTTATTTTTAAGTAACACCTGATGTGAGGCTCAAACTCACAGCCCTGAGATCAAGAGTTGACGCACGTTCCACCGACTGAGCCAGCCAGGCGCCCCGATCCCCTTTTTAAAAGGAAATAGACATACACAGAGCATCCTCCTTACTAATCCAGGTTAGGGTCTGTCAGTGTTTTTGCAACTTGAATAAATAGTAGCTGAAATTCTAAAACCAAATAATGTATGGCAGGGTGCAACTTAATTGGAACTAGTAATTTGTTTTATGATGTGAATTTTTATACTGCCTAGTTTGGTTGTTTTTTTTTTAAGATTTTATTTATTTATTTGACAGAGAGATAGAGCCAGAGAGCACAAGTGGAGAGAATGGCAGAGGGAGAGGGAGAAGCAGGCTCCCCACTTGAGCAGGGAGCCCGATGCGGGGCTCGATCCCAGGACCCTGGGATCATGACCTGAGCCGAAGGCAGACGCCGAAGGCAGACGCTTAACCATCTGAGCCACCCAGGTGCCCCAGTATACTGCCTAGTTTGAGTTTCCTGTGAAGTTGTGTGGCTCAGGAAATACACACACACACACACACACACATAAAATAGAAGAAAGAACAAGAGTTACAGAAGAGTTGTGAAAGGGTTTGCCAAACTTTCTCAAAATTCTGTAACTAGTGAGTGAAGGCATGTATACGGTTCCACTAGTATACATTTCTCTCATCCTACTAAATAAACATTGCACAGAACATTTAAAGAATATGAGCACCAATGAGGGGAGCTCATATGTGTCTGTCTAGCCCTGATGACAGTCCTCCAGAGAAATGTGTGCAGGGAGACACAGAGAATGAGCAGGAGGGGCAGAAAATGGCATTACCTCTGCGTAATGTTCCACCTGAGCCAGCTCCACCTCTTCATCCCCTTCCCAGTCCCTCCAGTTATCAAAGTCCACAGACAACCACACTGGCTGCAAGAGGAAAGCACAGAGCGTCACAGGGCAGGAAGCGCAGAAGTGCATGGAAGAGCATGGCTGTGTGCACAGGGGCATGCGCGGGGAAAAGAAGGTCAATGGGGGTGCAGTCTTCCCAAAAGCACCTCTTTGACTAATTCCTCTCTAGATTGCCAATATCATCATCCACAAAGATTTGCCAGGAACCTACTAAGTGCCAAGCACAATGCCAGGCATTTTGGTAGATAGAAAAGCATAGAAATTCCACCCTCCAGAAGCGGACTGACTAGAGAGGTAATACATCTGGAAAGATAACTGTGTCATAAAGTATCATGGGAGTCACCAAGCAAGATAGACAAGCTGCATTCCCTGGAGTCGGGAGAAAACCCTTGGAATCCTGTTCCAAGTTCTTACGCTTAGATAGGAAGTTATTCACTCATTAATTTAACGGCTATTTATTGAACACAGACTCTGAGCTTGGCATTGGGATCATGAAAATGTTTGATATATAGTCCCAGCTATCATGAAGCAAGTGGGGAAGGGAAATCTATTTATTTAAAATCGTTAAAATACAGTGTGAAAGGTATGGTGATGGCTTACACGGGAGATATTATGGAAACCCAGACAGAAGCTATAGGAACTCAGGCTTTTTAGAGTAGCAGAGACTTAAAGGATGAGCAAAGGTTAGGTGGGCACAAGTAGCAATGATGGAGGCTTTCCAGGAAGAAGGCACAGCTTGAGCAAAGGTAAATTCGTGAGAAATAGCCTGGTGTGTGCCAAAGAGCTGCAGGCCATTTGCTGTGGCTGGAATGTGAAGTTTAAGGCCGAAACTAATGGGATATAATGCTACAGAAGGGAAGAGTAGCCAGGTCATGAGTTTATATGTCATGCTATGGGGCTTGGATTTCAACCCAAAGGGCGGGAAGTGACAAGCTCATATGCCTAAAAGAGTTAGGGAACTAATGAAAAGGATTAAAGTGTGCTGGTACACATGCTCCATTTAAAGCTCCATCTCTAGGCGTTTGGGAATTTCTTTCTTTTTTTTTAAGTAACCTCTGCACATGGGGCTTGAACTCACAGCCCCATGTTCTACCAACTGAGCCAGCCAGGCACCCCTGGCATTTGGGAATTTAGACCAGTGTGATCAGAGTCTCCATTTTCTAAGAAAAGCTGATAATCTGTAGTTTTATATGAAATCTCCATATTTTTATAGGTCAGTAACTAATGAAAACTAAATGTCAATAACCAATCAAAATAATTTGTAAGTACTGTAAAGACCACAAAAACAAATTCAAGAGCCAGATCAGCCAGGAGCTAGCCAATTTTCAACTTTTAGCAAGGAAGAAGCCACTGGAGGGTCTTAGGTGGAAGAGTAACAGGGTCAGATGGGTGTTTTAGACAGACCATGCTGGGAGCAATGCAAAGGATGGACTGAGGGTCGGTCTAAAAATATGCAATAAACATCACCCAGTGATGGATGAGACCTGAATTAGGAAAAGATGAAGTAACAGATTCAAGAATATTTAGGAAGTCAAATAGGACTTTGTGAATGATTGAATGTTGGTGGGAAAGGAGCCAAGGGTGATTCTCTGACTTATGTCCCCAAGTGCAGAGATAGCACAGGAGAGAGAGCAGGCCATTCCCCCACACACCTACCTTGATATCCTCTTTAGTGAGTCGGGGCCAGGCTACCTTCTCCTTCCATTTCCTCACAAAGCAAGTAATGGAGCGACCAGAGCGCTTATCCTGGGAGTCCTACCGGATAGAGAGCCTCATTCTTAGCATGTGAGGTTTAGAATGAATTTCCAATTTTCCAGGCAGCCTTCCCATCCAGAGCTTACTGTCCCACCCCACAGTTACCTTGGAGTTCACCTTAGCATAGAATTCTATCTCATTGTACAACTCCACTCCGTCGGCATTCTTGCAGCTGAGGAGACAACGGAGCTGAGGAAATGCGGGAGGCTGAGCATGGGGGCATTAAGAGAAGGGAAAGGTTCCAGGAAACCAGGACCTTCAGAGAGGAGGGCCGTTACCTGAACACAATACGGTGGTCCTCGATGAGCACATGGACATCGGTGCTGTCCTCAACACAAAACTCCATGAACACGTACCTGGGCCTGTCGTACCACAGCGTCCGGGCATGCTGCCTGCAGAGGAGTTGCGGTGGGGCTTCATAGGGGTGGGAGAGGGAAGACTGAGGGCATTTGGGAAAGGTGGAAGGAAGGGAACATTTAGGGACGTTTTATGCTACGGCCCTGTCAAAGTGGAGCTAAATGAGACAGAAGGGGGTGAAAGAGGAGTGATGGCAGCGGGGGGGTGTGGTGAGGTGAGGGTGAACCTGGGGAGAATCCAGAGTGCGAGAGTTGAGAGGGAGGGGGTTATGGAGAACATTCCTCATCACCCCAAAGTTACAGAGACCTGGACTCTGGAATTTCCACGGGAACTCGCAGGAGCGCCCAGAAAATGTGGGACAAGGAATCTCCGAGGAAAAGGGCGGCCGGAAACACTCACCTTGCCATGGCGGCTCCCCGCTACCCGGTGGCATTTGGACTCCGAGCCAGGGACTGCTATCTTTAGATCCTGGGGACGCCCCCAGCAGCTGCCTCTCCTTATATGGTCGGGGAAGGCTTTAGAGGAAGGGGGAACGTGGCCCCCACAGCCAAGGGATCCGCACTTCGGAGAGACTCTAGAAGAGCGTAATCCCGACAGCCCTTCACATCTCAGTGTCTCCAGAAATGTACAGATTAGGAATAGACGACCCGGGGCGCCTGGGTGGCTCAGTTGGTTAAGCGACTGCCTTCGGCTCAGGTCATGATCCGGAGTTCCGGGATCGAGTCCCGCATCGGGCTCCCTGCTCGGCAGGGAGTCTGCTTCTCCCTCTGCCCCTCCCCCCTCTCATGTGCTCTCTCTTTCTCTGTCAAATAATAAATAAAATCTTTATTAAAAAAAAAAAAGGAATAGACGACCCACCCGCGGGGAACCAGGACAAGGGCCACACTAGGTGCACAACGAATGACTTGTCCCTGTCTTCATTCATCCGTTTCTCCAACGCTTAGTGCGTTCTGTGCCTGATTCACAGTAGGCGCTCAATAAAAAATTATTGGCCCGAATTAAATCCCCTGGGAAGGCCCGCCCCGCGTGACTGTGAACTGTTTGTCGTATAAGCCCCGCCCACCCGCGCCTTCGGGTTTCCCGGACAGCGCGCCGTTGCCATGGCAGTGAGGGGGCGCGGCTGACGTGCGGCGGCGTTTCCGGGAAGATGGCGGCTGTCGAAGCGGCTGCGGAGCCGGTAACGGTGGTGGCAGCTGTTGGTCCAAAGGCGGAGGAGGAAGAGGAGTCGCTGCCACCGTGCGAGGCGGTGCGCTGGGCCCCGGTGGGGGCAGTGGCGGAGGCCGGGCCTGGGACGGCCGCGTTCTCGGAAGAGGCGGCGGCCGAGGAGCCCGGCGCGGCCCCGGGCTCCCCTCCGGACTCGCCC